ACTTATTTAAGAGGCCCAAATCTATCCCTTAGTGCTTTTCATAGATGGGGAGAAAAATGTGTGGATGAGCAGCATCTGTGACTATGGGAGAAGACAAAAAATATTTTTTGTTGTTGTTGTAGATATGTCTTGGCCGTATTTCCCACTCGTTTAGAAAAGTAGCTCTAAAGCAAAGTATGTTGTTAAGTGGAATAATGATTTTATAAGCTGGTATTGTTTTGCTAGTCAGTTAAAGCAGATCTGCTGAGTCAATTGCTGAATTGTAAGCAAACACTTAAGTCAATCCTGTAGTATATACAGATCTATCCTGATTGGAACCAGCAATTTGATAGTGGCTAGTTTGTATGGCAATATGACATTCTGAAAAGAGGGTGGGAAATCTCCCTTGAAAAGTAAGTGGGGAAAGGGCACTGGAAAATATTTTCCATTTCCCTGCAGACTTTCACATCTCTAATCTTAAATTGTCTTTCTCTATTAGTAGAGTAGTATCATTGCATTAAATTCCTTATTTTAACATGTCTCTGTTTTGTAATTAGAAGTTTCTAAACGGAATGTTTTTTAAAAATATTTTAAAAGTATTTCTGGCGGATGTAATGTTTTGCAGTTTATGTGGAATAATATGCATGGTGGGCTCAGGCTGAAAAGTCAAAGTTAAGCCTGGTTTTATGCTCTGGCACAATCTTTGCTTTTCCAGAGGGCACCAGTTTCTAGTAGTGTTCTTCTGCCTCTCACTTTAACTTTCTTCTTCTTTTGCAAGTTTTGACAGACTTTATTAGCACAGGGAGCAATTGTAAAATGGGCCACAGAGCTTTCCCACTGTTACTTAGTTTCTGGTATTTGCCAGTACTTTGGGGTTGAAAAATTGTACTTGAGAAAAGTTTTTGTTTAGTCTAAATATGCTTCTATTTCAGAGTTTTCTTGGAGGCTTGTTTGGTCCTATTTGTGAGATTGATGTTGTTCTTAACGATGCAGAATCACGGAAAACAGCTGAAATCAAAACAGAAGATGGTAAAATTGAAAAACATTATCTATTCTATGATGGTGAATCTGTTTCAGGAAAGGTAAGCTTATTCCCTTCCTTGGAATCAGTTTTACAGAACCTGACAGTCAGAAACCCATGCTAGTGAGGCTAGAACAGTGTTCTGGTTATCTGATTTTATTTTCATCCTACAGTTGAACTAAAACCTATGTTTTAAATCTCTTTGTTACTGAAGTTGAATGGCCAAAGCAGCCTTTCCCAATGTTTGCGCTACAGATGTTTTGGACTTCAACTCCCATCAGTGTAAATCACCTTGTGCAGTAGTGTGGAATGCTGACAACTGTAGGAAGCAGCAGGGCTAAAGAATGAACATAGTCACTTATTAAAGATTAACATATATGTCTCTCATTCTTTGTTCCTTAAAATTAGGTATCAGAGTATAATTTTTTAGTTGTTAAGATGAACTCAAGAAGGGCATTTTGATCATGGATTTTAATAAAATGCATTCATGTGATTTAAGTAGTAAAAAGCTGATGTATTTTTTATTACTGTGATGCTTCTGACATGAACAAAGAAACAAAGGTGTAATTTGAATCTAAATAAGACTGTAAATACCATGGAAGGTGTTTATAGAGAGGATGAGGAAATAGAAAAAGAGGGAGAAAATGAGGAAGAAGAACCTGCAAGCATCTGTATACTATACTTTCATATCTTTGGTGTGCTCAGCCTTTTGCCAGCTTCAGCAAATTGTCCAGCTGCATCCCTACCTAGATGACAGCTCCCTAGTAACATTTGTGTATCTACAAATAGTCTCAAAAATTCACTACTGCAGTGCACTCTATGTGGGGCTTCCCTTGAAGTTGATGTGGAAGCTTCAGGAGGTCCAGAATGTAGCAACTAGCTTGGTTGCTGGGTTGAGAAAATGTGACTATCACTCCAACTCTGGTCTTCCTGCACTGGTTATTGGTCTTCTTCCATGCCAGATTTAAGGTTTGGTTCTAACATATGAGGGAGTGCTAATAAGTATTGAGCCTTTCCCAGAAAAAAATTGAGCTAGGAAGCTGTAACTGCCACACTATTCTACATATTCCCCCAGGAAGTCAATGCACTTGCGACATCTGTCCTGCAGCTTCTTAAGTCCCTGCAAATAAAATTCTTCCTACTGCTGGTGTAACCACTCATTTGCAGCATTAGTTGCCTCCAGAACACTCCCAAATCGTTGACCCTTTAGGTGGTTTTTTGAGTTTGGGGAACAAATAATAGTCAGAAGGAGCCAGGTCGGGATAATAAGATGGATGGGGCATCACTTGAAAGCCTAAGGACGTCAGTTTGGCCACTGTTTCACCTGCAGTGTGTGACGAGGCATTGTCATGGAACAGAATGAAACCTTTGGAGAGCTTTCCTCAATATTTTTCCTTGATGTTTTGCCTCAACTTCATCAATAAAGCACAGTAATATTTTGCATTGATGGTTGAACCCTGTTGGAGGTAGTCCACCAGCAGACTCCCTTCTTATCCCCAAAAATTGTTGCCATTGCTTCTGCACCGACCTTTGCACTCAGAACTTCTCTGGTCTGGGGGAACCACTGTGCCTCCATTCCTTAGACTGTTCCTTTGTCTCAGGATCATAACAGTAGATCCATGTCTCATCACCAGTTACCAGTTTGCCCAGGAAATCTGACTCATTTCTTGCAAAATGTTCCAAAACAGCCACCGATGACTCCACACGGTTCCTCTTTTGTTCAGTTGTCAAAAGTTTGGGGATCCACTTTGCTGCCAGCTTTCTCATTTCCAAGTTGCTGCGGATAATGGCACCAACTCTCTCACATTATATTCTTAGATATATAGCAATACTTTTGGCTGATACAGTATTTGGCAGGCCTCCATGATCGTGTCATGGATGGCTTTCACATTTGCAGGCACAGAGACAGAAACAGGCCTTCCACTGGTTTTCTCACTTTCAACACTGAAATGGTCAGTTTTAAAATTGATAACCCAATGTTTAACTCTTGCATAGGAAGGGCCACTGTCACCCATAGTTTGTGACATTTCATTATGGATCTGCTTTGCACCTTTCCCTTGGAGAAACAGGAACTTGATTATGGTTCTATGCTATTCCACATTGAACTTTTCTGAAGGTGCTGCCATGTTCACTTTGGACCAGAAAATGAAAGTTAAGTTAAAATCATAGGTAGTTGATTTTTTTGCACCGTTGAATATAGACAAATTGGCCAATGCACCCTGCAATTTATAGCTTCCTGGCTCAATTTTTTTCTGGGTAGAGCTCTATACCTATCAGCATCCCCTCATACAAAGTCCTATGCAGCTTCAGACCTTGGTACTTGTCTGAAGATCTTCTACCACCAGCTCCCTTCTGACTCAGACCTCATGCCTTTGGTGCTGATACCCTGAGAAGCCTGGAAAATGACATCTGCAAACTGGGTTTCTCAGCAGTGGTGCCTTCTTTGTGGAACAGTCTTGCACAGGAGAGCCCTCCCTTTGTGCATTCAAAAATCTATTAAAAACTGAGCTGTTCAGAGTACTACTGGGGAAGCTTTTTCCAAGTAGTTGAGATAGTGGAGAAAGGAAAAGAGGAATATTGCAATTTAGTATTGCTTGTTGCCACTTCTCTTACTGTCTTTTCTTTTTATTTGTGGCATTGTATAGTGTTTATGTTAATTATATAATGTATGTTTTATATTTTTGTTGTACATCACCTAGAGTAGTGATTGGGTAGATGGGCAATATATAAATTGGAATGAATGAATAATTTAAATGAGGCTTTTCCCAGTGTGTACTATTATTACTTATGATTATTAGACCTACATCTTTTAATTGGTAGGATTAGAAGACAGTAGGTTTCTCAGTTATGAGAAATATGCTGACCTCCTTTTCCTTGCATTACATTTGATAGAAAAAGCATAGGGTGATTTTTGCTTCAAGTTGTGTGTTTAAAGATGCAATTGGGGAGGGTGTAACTGAACTAGATTATGTTCATCTGAATATAGGATGTTGTATTGGTCATATCTCTAGTTTTTCTTGGTAGTGTTAGAATATGGATATATTTTTAATGACTGCTCTGGTTTGTGACTAATGTAGGACATGGCTACATTGCAGACTTTCAAATGGACATAAATAGAAATATTAATTTTACTTCACTTTATGAAATGCATTAACAGTTAGATGGATGGCTATTTTCTATTGAATAGAAAAGTAACATATTTTACCATGTATATGACCCCCCAATGTATAAACTGCCCCCCTATTTTTGACCCTTGTTGGAGGTGGAGGAGCAGTTAATGGGCAACTGCTCCTCCACCTGTTTCCTGCTGCTGCTGTCTCTGCTGCCTGCCGGATTACCTCCTCCGGTGCGACTGCCAGGGCTCACATTGCCTAAGGTGATCGTGGGAGGAGGTGATCTGGAGGTGGTGGCGGCAGCAGGAAGAGGCTCCTGAGTGCGTGTGAGTGCTTGTTTGCTTCTGCCTCTGCCTCCTCCTGCCTCCACCACCAGAGGAGACAAGGTGGCGGTCAGTCCCACTGGAGGTGGTGATCGGGCAGGCGGGGAAGGCAGCAGCAAGAGGCACCCGAGCATGTGTGAATGCTCCTTCGCCTCCGCCTCCTGCTGTGCCTCGGGGCCACCAGAGGGGACAAGCCGTGAGCTTTGGAAGAGGCAATTGGGGCAGCAGCAGCGGCAGCAAGAGGCACGTGAGCGTGCATGCAACTGCTTCCTTCCATGTATAAAATGACACTCATTTTTTCCTCTAATTATTTTAAGGAAAAGTGTCATCTTATACACAGAAAAATATGGTATACCTTCTGTGAGACCATTAAGGAATTGTATCCAGGGGTCTGTGCTCTGCTTTACTACTGTACATTATCTTTTTCAAACATTAGACAGTCTTGAGGGGATGAACTCTCTGAAAATCTGCCTCATCCACCTGTTATCCTTAATATTCTCTCACACACCCATTGAGAAACAGTTGTTTGACCAGTTTTTCTTTCTGTAGTCATAGCACTTTGTATCTTTGTTTTGTTTTGTAATTATTGCATAAAGAGGAATCAGGTGGGCTTGGGAGTGTGTTGGTTGAGCCCTCCAAGATGGGAGCAGTTTCCGACATAAAAGAAGATTGAATGTGATTTAGAAGAGATCAAAAGACCCTGTAGTCCAGTGTTGTAATGCTGAAATAAACGACATCTGTCACTGTTCTTAGTTTGTTCATTTTTCTTTGTTGCTTTTTATTGTTCTTAAACTGTTATAAGGTTTATTTTTTAGTTATACGTAATTAATGAAGAGCAGAGAGTAGAATATGAATTGTTCCATTAGAACCATTTCATTCCTTTTTCTAAAAATTATCTATATTGAGAGAAAGGCGAATTTCAACAGTTTTTTTTTTCCAGGTCAACATAGTCTTTAAACAACATGGAAAGAGGCTAGAACATCAAGGGATTAGAATTGAATTCGTAGGACAAATTGGTGAGTTTCAGATTTGCTGTTGAATATTCAAAGGTATGAAGTATTGTTGTCATGTATGGAAATCATAATTTGCACTGCCCAGTTAGGACTACCTTGAGATAATTTAATTCATCATCACCATCAGGCAAATAACTAAATAAAAGAAAGAAGAAAGAAAGAGGCCAAAATGGTTGTTGTGGGTTTTTCGGGTTCTTTAGCCGTGTTCTGAAAGGAAAGAGCCAAAACATTGTGGCACCTTAAAGACTAACTGCTATATTTTAATATGAGCTTTCATGGACAATTCCACTTCCTGAACAGTTGTCTGAAGAAGTGATTTGTCCATGAAAACTCATGTTAAAATATAGTAGTTGTTCTTTAAGGTGCTGCAATATTTTTATATTCTTTATTTTTTTGTTCTACATTTGGTTTGCCTGATATGCTAGAACAGACTAACATGGCTATCTGCTCTAAAACTACCATCCTCATCTTAGAACTGCAGAAAAAGTATATTAAGCATGGCCAATTTGAAATAGCACTTAAAATAGATAATTGAAATAAAATCAGTTTTCTGTCTCGTATTCTATTAGGCAGCAGTTACTAACAGTCTTCACAGTAAAGACTTTATATTGCCATGTTGGTCTTAGAGACTGAAATGCAGTAAGTAAAAAAAGTAGCTAAATTGTGAAGTAACTTTTCTGAACTTATTTTTATTTTTCCTCTTCAAAAGGAGCTTTTTAAAGTACATGCTGTGTTCTGAACAGAAATTCAGCAAAATCTTCCTTATTGTAGCATGGGAAATCTAAAATTATGTACATTTCAAGAAAGATTCTGCTAGATTATCTCTTAAATGCTCAAGTTTGCTGCATTATTAGCCATGTTGTCTGTAAATAAAATATGTAGTTTCTAACCAAATTAATGATCTTTTAATCGCATATAAGACCTGATACTTAAGACCTGGCTCTTTAGGCAGGCTTTGCCTCCTGTCATCACTTGATTATTACTTTTCCCCATCTTGAACTATATTATTATTGTTGCTTTTTATTTTATTATACTGTTTTGTTCTACTTTTATTGTTAGCCACATGTGTCTAGATGGGCAGGGTATAAATTTAATAAATAAATAAATATATTGAAAGAGTACTGAATAAGTCATTTCACTAAAGAGTAAAAACACATTTATTTTTCAGATTATTTTTTATAAAACACTGTTACTTGCAGGTATTTTTTAATTGTGTACCTTCTCACCCCCTCCTTACTACTAGTAACAATTCATGTACATGTCCATTAAAAAGCTATTTTACCTTATTAAGGAAATTTTAATGTTAAATTTGCCTTTTTTCTGATTGTGTGCCTTAATTTTGTAGAACTTTTCAATGACAAGAGCAATACTCACGAATTTGTAAACCTAGTGAAAGAGCTGGCCTTACCTGGGGAATTAACACAAAGTAGAAGTTATGACTTTGAATTTATGCAAGTGGAGAAGCCATATGAATCTTACATTGGTGCCAATGTCAGATTGAGGTATGAAAACTGAAAAGCATTCTTCCCCTCTACCTACAGTTGACAGTTGTCTAATGTACTGGTAACTGAATATTGGTATGCATACATCTGTTTTAAAATAATGGGTTTAATCAAAGGTACCCTTCCATTTGTGGCATAGGGTTTGATCCAACAGAGGTTGCCACAGATAAAAGGGGAAAGAAGATTATTTTTGCTGACCAGTCCCTCATACTCCTTGAAAAAGCTGATCTAGAGGATGGAGGGACTACAATGGAGCAATATGCTGCAAAAATCAGTGATGGAAGACAACGTATTTCTGCCAAAACAACCTTCAGTAATTTTTAAAATACTATTAAAATAATGACAATATTGTTAAATTTCAGAAATAGAAAAATAAAATATACAATAGAAAAATTAAAACTAGGATAATTTAGACTTTGCATACCACAACTGTGATCTCAGAAAGTATAAATGGAAGATATTAAGAAACTTCAGTAGGCAGCCTGTGTTGCCAAATACTTCTGAAAGATTGTGATAAAGCCACCATGAGAATTAAATTTGGACTAGTGGTATACTCTATTATTGTGGTTGTGGTTGTTATTAAATATCACTAGCCCCTATTTAATTCTCATGGTGATTTTGCAACAGAAGTAACTAGAATTGTGAGCTAATTAATTTTAAAAATTCAATGAATGCAACTTAAGAACCTTGATAATATGTAGTCTTCTGGTGTGAATGTAATTTTGGTAAAGATTGCTACCTTGGCAGATCTAACTGTGAATGTAAACAATTCTGTGCATATAAAAGAATTTCTTCCTTTTATAGGTATTTCCTTAAAGTGACAATAGTAAGAAGATTGTCAGACTTGATAAAAGAGTATGACCTCATTGTTCACCAGCTTGCAACATACCCAGATGTTAACAACTCTATTAAAATGGAAGTGGGCATTGAAGATTGCCTGCACATAGAATTTGAATACAATAAATCCAAGTACGTATGACTTTGAAAAAGTTAACCAAATGGCCATAAAAGGAAAAAGAGCAAAGATCTTTTTAGTGAAAACTGCAGAATACCTAGCAGTGACCAGTAATTTTACTAATGCGTTGAACGTATAGACCTGTGGGTTTCCCCCAAAGTTGTTATAATTCAGAAAGATCCTTTAAAAAGTAACCAGAGTACCAAGTCAAACACTAGCATAGCAAGATGTAGGCTACACAAGCACGTTTCCCCCAATGTGCTAGTCAGTTTGTTCCTTGCCGGGCTTTCACCTGGAGAACATTTAGAGACCATTGTCCCATATGCACAGCCTCAGACTCTCCATGATTATCTCAGGGTTTTACAGCTCTTTTTACTGTACATCCACAGGTTTGGGAATACATTCAAGCTTGGCTTTTTCTTTTGGACAGAGATGATGGCTGTGCGTAGGAGTATTTTTGTACAGTTTAGGTGGTATGGTGACTTGAATCCATAGTTTCGGGAGGACAGCTTGCTTGAAGTCACACACAGACCTTCGTTAAACAGTATCTAATTTCTGTATTGGACTATTTGTGGAGCTACCTTTGCAAAAGGTTCAAAGCTTTCAGTTGATCAAAAGTCCTGTGGCTAAAGTATGATGTTGGCCTTTTAAAATTTTTTGGATAATGTGACTTAATGTATAGTGGTGCCTCGCTAGACAGTTACCCCGCATGACAGTTTTTTCGCTAGACATTGACTTTTTGAGATTGCTATAGCAATTTTGCAAAACAGTGATTCCTGTAGGGGAATTTTGCTGTACAATGTTTGGTCCCTGCTTCGCAAACTGATTTTCGCTAGACAACGATTTTGACAGCTCCCTCCGCACTTGCAAAACGTGTGTTTTTAGGACCTAAGCTTCCCAAGACAGCTATTTAAACAGCTGATCGGAGGTTCGCAAAGCAGCTTTCCTATGGCCAATCTTCGCTAGACAACGACAATTCTTCCCCATTGGAACGCATTAAACAGGTTTCAGTGCATTCCAATGGGGCAATGCTTTTCCCTAGACAATGATTTCGCTAAACAGTGATTTCAATGGAATGGATTGTCATTGTCTAGCGAGGCACCACTGTATTACAAAAATTCCATTGTCTTCTGATCTGCTTCTCAGCACAATTTAAAGTGCTAGTCATTATGTTTAAAGCTCTAAATCAGGTGGCAACCTCAAGAGATATGAGGGCCACACATACCCATCCCTGGACCTCAGGTGGTTGCTTCTGTGTCCCCAGCCTCCTTCCTTCCTTCCTTCCTTTTTCTTTCTTTCTTATTTATTTGTTTATTTATTTATTTATGAAATGGAATAACAGAGTTACATTGCGTCTCCTTGTGGTCACTTTTTTGGTAATTTGGGGTGCTTGGCCCCCCTTAAAACATGTCAAAGTTGCCCCTATATAGTAAAGATCAAAATAGGATTTTCTGTGCCATTTCCCCCTTCATTTTATATTTTTTATTGGGGTTTGGGATGCTGGGGGCACATTTGGGCCCTTGTGGTTGTCACCCATCCCTGCTCTAAATGGAGTAAGTTAAATCTTACTCTGAAGGAGGGTATAAAAACAGCATTTCACATGTACATGGCCCTGTCTGCTCATGTAATTGGGATGGACTTTTCCTATGTCTCTCCATTGTTGGAAGTTCAGATGATCTGTTTGTACCAGGAGGCTTTCTTGCTAGTTGTGCTCAGATATTGGAACTCTTTGTTTTGGGTGACCCAGTTAGCCTCACTGGAAAATTGGGGTATATGTCTTTCGCCAGCACACGACTCTTTGCAGCAGCTAGCTAAGCAGAGGAAAAGGGACCCCTGCCTGATCTGATGGCATCAGTATATGACCCCATTTGTGTATGCTATTTGCATATTCAGTGAAATTGTAAAGGATGGAGTCACATTGCCAATAAGTGTGTTTCAGGAAGTTTAGAGATGTCTTTACAGTGGCTTTTGAAGACTTAATGTTTGTACAATAAATACTTTTGAGCTAGAAACCTTCAATAGTAAGATTTTTTTTTGAGTGATTCAAGTAATCTAGTTCAATAGAGAATAAAGTTAACAGAGACACGCTATATAATTCCATAAACTAGTTCAGTATGCACAAATTCTACATTTTTACAAGTTTTCTTCCTTTGTCTTAAGGTATCATTTAAAGGATGTGATTGTTGGGAAAATTTACTTCCTCTTAGTCAGAATAAAAATTCAACACATGGAATTACAGTTGATCAAAAAAGAGATCACTGGAATTGGTAAGATTCACAAGAAGGAGCGTGTTTATTTGATAAATAATTTGACTTTTAATTGGATGCTGCCTAGATTTAGATGATTCAGATTTTAAAAGATTTTATAATATGGTGTGGAATGGAATTATGTATGTGAAGGATATCAGATTAGTCTCTGATAAACTATTGTAACTTTAAAATTAAATGCCAATAGTTCCAGTACTGATTTGCATATTGCAATTACCTTCTTCAAAATGGCCTATGAATTGGTTCTTTGAGCCCTTTCCATTGTATTGCCATGTATGTGATAATTAACAATGATGAAGCCGTTTTGCTGCTTTTGAATTTACAAAAGAAATGGAAGATTTTCCTGTACATTAGTTTAATACTTTGAAATATGCCAAAATGAGAGAATTAACATGGCGTAGAGGTTCCTGGTGGTGGATATTTGTAAACTAGTGTATTATCTTTGAATGGAAGGCTGGGTGACATGTCTTTGTTTTAATAGATTGCTGTATAGAAAATACTGTTTGGCCCTGATTTACAGCTTTAACACAATTCTAGATTGTCCTGGTGCTCCATTTAGTATATTATGAAAGTTACAAATATCATATTGGGTGTTATTAATAAGAAGATTGCCCTGAACAGTTAGGAAGAAATTGTGTTGAATGCAGCTTTAAAAGCATATGGAAATGGGCTGGTAGAAGAAAACGTCCATGACTCTTTCTCTCCATGCCTGTTTTTCCAGTTTCCTGAAAATCCCACAAAAGAGCTTGGAGCCTTCTTTGAGATGGGTAGGCTTTTGGTTGGGATAGGAAAGAAGAAGCCCTCCAGTTTAGGAGCAGACACCTTCCATGTATAACTGTTTGTGTAGCATTTCTGGGAAGCAGAAGCTAGTGAGGCAGTAAAAAGTCAGCTTTCTTTCATTCAGTTTCACCTGTTTGCACCTGGATAGACTCCATTATTTTGTGATTATTTCTGTTGTAAAATAGTTAACATTGTTCAGTTAAAACATAACTGTTGTAGACTTTTGAGCTATAGTAATTATGTTCACTTATAAATGGAAAATGAAATGAAGATAAAACAGTTGCATGAAAAAACCAGATAAACTGCCTGATAATTATTTGACCAGGGCCCAGTACCACAACAGAGACAGAAACGATTGCAAAATACGAAATAATGGATGGTGCACCGGTTAAAGGTGAGTCAGTGCATGTCAGCATTAGTGAAATCTTTGATGTTAGCTGTTACTTTAAAATAAACCTTTTGTGCAGTCCTTGTGTATTCTTTAAATGGGTGCAAATTAGAGTCTAAGGCACCAAGCAATACTGCCCTTTTCTCTTAAATAAAGGGTTTATAATCCAGGTCTGCTTATAGTCTACAGCAGGGGTCCCCAACCCCCAGTCTGCGGCCCGGTGCTAGTCTGTGGCCATGGCAGAACTGGGCCGTGGAGACAGATTTCCCACCCCCCGCGCACACTCCCCACACGCACCCCACCTGCATGCATGTGCACCTTGCCCCTCCAAGCATGCACGTTAGTGCACCCTGTCCCTTCACAAGTGTGCTTGCATACGCGCCCCTCCGCGAGTGCACCCTGCCCCTCCACGCATGCACATGAGCGTGCCCCTCCTCTCCGTGAGTATGGGGGGTGTCCTGTCCCCCCACGCACAGGCCCTACTCCCCCAACCAGTCCACGATTTAGAAAAGGTGGGGGGCCACTGGTCTACAGCATGGTGTAATTGGATGTAGATGTATTTTTATTTATTTGTTTGTTTGTTTGTTTGTTTGTTTGTTTATTTATTTATTTATTTATTTATTTATTTATTGTATTTATACCCCCCCTATCTAGTCATTTCGACCACTCTAGGTGGCTTACAACATAAGGATAACAAGTTCTTAAAAAATTTATAACAATTAATTAATTACATGATTCTGTAAGATGGGAAAAATAAAAATAAATAAAGAGAAAAAAAAGGAAAGAGGACAGGAATTAACTGGAAGGGAAGGCCTGCCTATACATCCATGTTTTTAGTTGGTTCTTATCTGTATCTGCCAAGGCCTAGATTGAGAACGTGACATAAAGTGCACATATGATTTTTTTTGTGTTTTCCATACCCTCTTGCTAGTTCTGAGTCTTTTAAGCTTCTTCATTGTCTCCAATCTGCCCCCTCTTCCTCCCTCCTTTTTTGGGGGGGGATGCCACAGGCAGGAGCCAGTGTTGTGCTTTGGAATGAAGTGGGTAATGAAGAAGAAAGTAGTGAGACCAGGTGCTGGCCAAAGAAAACCAGGAGTAAGAGCAAAATGGAGGAGACTCTGTATATGGGTGCTTCTCCTAAAGAGAACCAGGTGGCTGGCTGGCAGTAGTAGTGAAAGGGCAGTAGAGCTTTATTTTGTGTGTGTATATCTGATTCCAAAATATGGAGTGTGATCCACATGTTTGGCTTATGTTAGTGGCAACAACTTTTATCTCTGGTCCTTATTCATGTTGCAAGTAGTGACAGGCACGAACCTTGGTTCTGAGGTTTATGCTAATTTGTTGGACTGGCACCACTCCCCAAGTTGGCTTCCCTGCTCACCAGCCAGCACTTATTGCTCTCCTCCTCCTCCACTTCCTCCTCATTGGGTGTTCAGCCAGTCCCAGCAGGAGCACATCCTTTCCTCCTCCACCCCCTCTAACAGCCGCCCACTCAAAGGTAGGGCTGTAAGAATTCCTGCCCCGCTTCCTTGTCTGAGTGGACAGCTGCTGGAAGTGGTGGCAGGATAGCATATACTCTTGCTGGGACTCGTCGAATGCCTGAAGAGGAACCAGCTGGGGTGTGGGGGAGGGAAAAGCATAGCACCTGCAATGCAGATCCAACACATTGGCACAAACCTTCAAACCAAGGTTTGTGCCCATCTCTAGTTGCAAGTGGAGGGAACCTTTCTTACCCATATAGCCAGCTTCTGTGGCAGAATGGAGTGGCTGAAAATAGATTATCTTTCCTGACTGTTTAGGAGGGTTCCCCCCCCCATGTAACTTACCATATTTTCCATGTATAAGACTATACTTTTGTCTAAAATATTTAGACTAAAAATTGGGGGTTGTCTTATACACGGACGTAAGCTAAGGAGAGAAAAAAAAACAAGTGGAGGGGAAAGCAGGGATCAAAGTGATCCTGCAGTGCTTTGATCTCTTTCCCCTTACACTTGCTAAGCCCCACTTAGATTTCTTAATTTTGGGTTAGAAAAGTGGGGGGCGTCTTATACACAGAAAAATACGGAAGGTTTGTACTCAGGTCATGATCCATATGACCCACAGTCCACATAGGACCCACAGTCATAGGTGAGATTAACCATTGAATTGTTTTCCTTCTTCGACACTGCTGCCATAAAAACTAAAATTGTTGATTAAAATTCTTACAAATTGAAAGTTCAGATCTGGTATGAACAGTTTAAAAACATATTTCCTTCCTTCTTTCAACTGTTCTTCACCCAGGTCTCCAAGCTGCTTTCTGAAATTTGGTGGCACTTAAGAATTTCACAAAAGAAAATAAAAGAAAAACATATACAGAATTTCCGCACAACTTGCTTGATAGAAGGACTTCTAAGTGCTGCCAAACCATTCAGTGTTGGGAGCTGCTGTAACATGTGAAGCATTTATTTTTTCAGTAAAATTAACTTTGCCTCCCTTTTTTAAATTTAAGGTGAATCTATACCCATAAGACTCTTCTTGGCAGGCTATGATCCTACTCCTACAATGAGGGATGTGAATAAAAAGTTCTCAGTAAGATACTTCTTGAACCTGGTGTTAGTTGATGAGGAAGACAGACGGTACTTCAAGCAACAGGTATAACAATCTACAAAGCAAAATAGTTTTTATCAGATGGACTTACTTTTATTGTACTTTCTGTTAAATATTAAAAATATTTAAAATACTAAAATCAACTACCAATAAAGTTGGATTCCAAACAGTAAAACAAATCCCACTGATGTAGCAGCAATAATCATATCAGAACAACATCAATACAGACTATCACCTGCTAAGATGGATTTTATTTAAATCAAGTTGATTTAAATAAAAAATAGAATTTTTTAACAATTTTAAAGAATTTAAATCATGATTATAAATCCATTTAAAAAAATCATTTTTATACCCTGTCTGAACACTAAATTGGATTTCTGCAAAATGTTGACTTGCCATGAAGAAGGCATGTATTGATGTGTGTAGCCTGTACACACCCACTTGACTGTTTCCTCATTCAGATTTGTGCTTCCTGAGTTACTCTTGAAAAAGCAGGGTTATAAACTAGGTTTGTTCCTTACCTTACAAAAAATGAAAGGAAGGATCAGACCTCTATCTGCTATTATATACAGAAACAGCTGTGGAGAATTAACTTAAAACATTAGAATCGTTGTATGTGTAGCTAATTCAGTATGCTAATATCTCCTGCGAAATTGCTAATTGACTTTGAACATGTTGAGAACATATTCAAGGTCTGCCCACAAATTTTTTGAGCACTGACCTGATCAACTTATGTCTAGAAATATGTTTGGCTGCTGTGTTCAACTGTGGATTATTTTCTGAGTAGTATCTTTTGTATTTTTGGACTTCAGACCCTGGAATTCTCTAGGAATTGCTCAGGCAGAACTCTGGCAGGTGCAGCTCAGAAATATATATCTGCAAACCAGTTTTCCAGTTATTTACTTATCTTGCTGACTTGTCCTGCTTGTTCCTACTTTTAAAAACTAGGCAGCTTGTGTTTGTTGTGAATGATGCTATCTGGGAGTTGCAAATCTTCCAGGGAGGCGTTATTCTTTGGGAGGTACCAGCAATAGCAACTCCCAGCGTCCTCCATGCCAAGGAGGGCGCACTCCCACTAGTTGGTCAACCACCTTGCTGCTCTATCACCAGCCAGTGGGGATGGATCTTCTAGGATTGGAGAAGGCTGAGATTGTAGTCTTACTGCCTATTAGGCAAGCAAGAGAATTCTGGAAAATGGGGGTGGGGGTTGCAGTCCAAAAATTAAAACTAGTGTTACGATTATAGTTCTTGTACTTGTTTTAACCTACCTTGAATTTACACTGAGAAGAGTGATTTGGTGCATTTGCTTGTTACCTTGCATATATTTGATAGAAAATTAGAATAAAAATCTGCAAGCAAGCAAAAGGGTTCAGATTAATCAAATAGAAGTTTGTGCAAAAAATTTAATTATTTTAAATCAGTTTGTAATACCCTGTTTTCCCGAAAACAAGCCCTAGTATGATTTTTCAGGATGCTCGTAATATAAGCTCTACCCCCAAAATAAGCCCTAGTTAATTGAAACTCTGCCCTCCACCATTGTGCAGCATTGTGCAGCAACCAGAAGATGACGTGACTGTAAAATAAAACATCCCCTGAAAATAAGCCCTAATGCGGTTTTTGGAGCAAAAATTAATATAAGACCCTGTCTTATTTTTGGGGAAAAGAAAAGCTGCTTAGGTATGCAGTATATTGGTCTGCTCAGCTGTTAAGTTTCTAATTTTTTTGTATTTTTCCATCCTTTAATAGGAGATAATACTTTGGAGAAAAGCTCCTGAGAAACTGAGGAAACAACGAACAAATTTCCATCAGCGGTTTGAAAGTCCAGAACCACAGGCATCTGCAGAGCAGCCTGAAATGTGAACTAAGGGTGAAAGAACTGTTGATAGATCAGCAGGTTAACGGTGGCACCAGCCTGTAGAGAAGAAGGCCAAATCTTGCATTACAACAGTCTTCCTCATCTTACAGTGCTGCTTTTCCCACACTACTAAAACATTCTTCTAGTAAACATTCAAATGTGTACATACATTTAAAACAAGTGCTTTCTCAAACACTGGAACTTTCTTAAGCTATTTTATACTGCACATTTTACTTTTTTTGTCTGATGTGATGCACTCAGATATACATAATGCTTACAGTGTCTAGTTAATGTGTTTTCATGCATGTAGGCTGGTGCATTTAAGTTTAGCTTATCATTGATTAAAGCATTTCTTCCTATACTACATTTCACATCATATCTCCTCAGTGTCTCTTACCTGTACTGGAAATCCATTGTCTCAAAAGTAAACATTAAAGGATAGAAATGGGACTGGCCCCTGAAAATACACCTGATCTTGCCATGAAGAGGTAGGTGATGTGTACAAAATGTTAGGTCCGAGACCATACTCTGGTTTTCTCACTGCTTCTCTCCCTGAAAAATATGTATGGACAAACTTCTTTCTAAAATTGTTTTTAAGAGAGGTAGCTGTCTTCTATTTTTTCTTTTTAAAAAATCTATTCTAATGCTTCTCTTATCAGGTTCTATCATATGCCCTATGCTAAAATACAGAATCCTTTCATTTAATCCTGTTTCAGTGGAGGGGTGTATGTGATTGTGATTGAAATAAGTTTTAATACCACTTTTACTGATGTTATTGACATGGGTCACATGCACACAAATCTCTTTGCACTCAAATGCAACTTTCACTGTTGTCCTTTCCAATATACCCAAATATAATGAAACATTATTTCCCACTCTGATCTTGTATAATAAAACATGGGCTTATGGAAAGATAAATGGGTGGAAACTGTCTCAATTCAAATAAGTTTTGGAAGTCTGTGTAGCAAAACATCTGATAATTTTTAAATTTTGTTAATTCATCGTCTTTAGACAAACCTTGTTAGCCTCCATCTGTCCACAATGAAGTATGTAGTTTTCAGAAACACACTGTTTTGGGCACAACACGGAACCTGCTGAATAGAAAGCTACTCACATTTATAGTTCACTTGGCCTACTTACCAAGAATGTTTCTTAACTTCAGTGCAAGTGTTATTGGTTACCTTACTTTATGGGTAAGAAAAATCACTAAATTATACATCCGTAAGAACTGTTTTATTACTATGGCACTTTGATAAAGCAGACAGACATGCTGCGTGCTGGGATATTTCTCTTAATGTGGATGCCTGTGATGGAGAACTCCCTCATGTAAGTGCCTGTTCAGAATTTCAAACAAAAAAAAATGCCAAATATTTTCATGGACACTTGCATATTGTGATCTGAAAACTTCCAAGTAATTTTGAAAAATGATTGTATTTAACCAGCCTCAAATTGTGCAACTATGTAAAATAGACATAATGAACTGCTATTTGAATTATTAAAAATAACTGTATTCTCACTAAACTATTTGATTGTCTTTAATTGTACATTCTTTTAATGTGTTTGTCGCTTTAAGACTCTAGATTTAAGTAAATATTCTGAAGTCAGATTTGAGTTCAGAATAGAGATTATTTAGCATGGAAGGAGAACATTTTTTTAATCTGGTAGAACTAAATCTTCCAGCAGTACAGAATAATAAACAGATAATTCTTCTTTGTGTCTAATATCTTTAAACCATTACCACATTACAATTATCTAGCAAATATATTGCTTTAGGATGTCACTAATACAGTGGGCCCTTGACTTCCGAATGGCCCTAGTTGCAAACGTTTCAGGTTACAAACCCAATCTCATAGGAAACTATAGACCCTACTTGCGAACGTGGAATCGAGTTACGAACAAAAATGGGGAAAATTCTGCCCCTAGTGGTAGGAACAGATTAAGCAGCTTTGCATTAGTTCCTATGGGAACTAATGAATTGACTTGCGAACCGCCCCTCAACTTAAGAACCAAAAACAGCCGGAACGGATTAAATGGTTTTCAGTGCATTCCTATGGGAAATGCTGATTCGAGTTACGAACTTTTCAGGTTACGAACAGACTTCCAGAACGGATTAAGTTCAGAAGTCGAGGGCCCACTGTACCATATAGGGTGCTGTAATGGATTTCTAATTAATGTTTCAAATCTGATTTGACTAAACCTAAGAATTTTTGAAGTCCTATTTAACCCTCAGTGACTATATCCTAAGACATTAACTTGGAACAACAAGACTTGGATTAAGTAAGTTGTGGAGTATTTTCTAGTCCCATGGAAATTCCACTGTTCAAATGTTAGCAAAGGGATTAGGGTTTAATATACTGTACACATTATACATTTACTGAGCATGCTAAGAATTCCAACAGTCCTCACCCTAAATGGGGGCAGCCTAGTGATAATCAGATACGTTACTTCTGCTTGATTTGCTCACAAATGGTGTGGGACTTTGTCCTAGTACACTATATTACTCAAGACTAGGTATCCTAGTAGCAAAATATAAAAGATTCGTTGGGACTATATTCCAGCTGATTTTGTCTGTTAAACTACATGGAAACTGACTAGAACTTCTTTTAAAAAATTAAGAATGTCCTTAGTTAATTAAAATAGTAAATATTAAAAAAACACTGAAACATCAAAAGACAACAGAACAGATGGGGGATAGTACAAAAAAAATTACGATCCATGTATTCACGTAAGTAGATCAATAAGTCATACCAAGAGCTTAAACTGATTGTTGAAACTTTAAATTTCTTTAAAATTTAACTTCCCCCTTGAAATATGAAGTTTCATTGTTGCATACCAGCAGGTTTCCGTGAGGTACCATATGATATTGGAACATAGAGTACAGTTATTTGCAAGTAAAATACTGTACCATAAAACTTAATTTTTGGTATGAGTCTTAATTTACATACATGTAGAGTCAATGTTTCCATCAAATCTAATGACCAAACTACATTTCCATTGAAATAGTGACAAGAGTAGTGTTCGAATGGAAGCCTATTTTCAGTCCAGCAGCTAAATAAAGGTTAACAGTCAGCTCCTCATGAAGAAGAGATTTATTCCCTCCTCAAAACAGGAACAATAAACCTAATGGTGGGGAAATTTCTACATCTTGTTTAGTTATATACTTTGGGTCTGTAATTTTAGTAGTAAAAACTGTATATATGGACAGGTTCACTATGTCCTTAATTTCATCTGGCATCTCCAACATTTTGTCATTAATATTACTTGATAATCAACATAGCCTAACTGGGGTATAGTACAGTAGTTTATCATAAAACAGCACTCTTTGATCTTAACTGAAAATGGGCACATCAGGTTATAGTCCATATTTGTTTCCATATGGAGTTATCAATTATAAGCCCAAGGTCTCTTTCTTAAATTATCTATGGCCGGATGAATTATTCTGAGTTCCTATAAGGATTTGATAAATTTTAAATGCTATTCACTGAATGTGATCTGAAAATTTATAGTAAGTTGAATGTTGACCTGGCTATATGATGTAAAATGAGCTACCTGAAAAAATTGTAGGTAATTAGACAACACTTCAATCAATTGATTATAAAGCAGCAGACAAGATTTTGGTACTGAGCCGTTAAATAAATGATTCTATATAAATTTGGAATTTTAATCCTGGAATAGGGACAACTTGTCAGTATTAAAAAAATAGAGGATGCTTTAAAATGCATCTCTGGAGAAATACTGGAAACAGGTTTTTTATTATCTTTTCCAGGTGTTACAGGTAAGTAAGAAATTGCTGATTGTATCAAATCTAGCATATAAGAGGCAGAAAGGGAAGCCCTTGTTCTTCATGGCCTCTGAATGCAAACAAAAGGGTTTAGACTGCGCCTGCGCAGGACTCCTTGGAATATTCTAGAGCTTAAAAACGTGATTAATAGGATGTTTCCCCATGGTGCGCATGCTCCGCCCACCATAATACCTCAGTTCCTTTTTGCCGCCGTTGCAATCGGACTCTCATGTCTAGAGCTGTTTGTTCCTATTATTTTGGTTTTTGATTCTGGTTTGGTTTATTGAATATAGTTTCTAATCTCTGGAGAATTTCAACTTTGTCTATGGTATACGATTATCGGTTTTTGGACTGGCTGTTTGTTCTTTCTGGGCTATTTTGCCCTTCAGACTGCTTACCGGTTGTGGTTTTTGGATTACGGACTTTGTTGTGACCAACTTGGCGTCTCATCTTTTGGCTTTTGATCTTGGGCAGACGATGGTTGATGTTTTTCCGTGAGTCTTCCTTTTTTTCCCCGTTTCCCCCCTCCCTTCCTTCTCCAGTTTCTGCCAATTTTATGGCCTTGTCAGGTCCCTTTAAGCAGTGTACATCGTGTGCCAATAGGATCCCCTTCACGGGCAGCCACGACCACTGTTTATTTTGTTTAGGAGAGAGGCACCAGACTCATTCCTGTCAGGAGTGTAAAAAGTTCACCAAACCTGCCCTTAAGCTCCGTTTGTAGAGGCTTCATTCGTATCTGTGGGAGAAATCACTTACATCTTCGAGCCCAGCAACCATGGAGCCTACCTTGACTCCTTCTCCTCCCACTCCTCCTCCCAAGCCTGCTGTTTCATTGGTTCCTGCCACCCCGTCTCCGAGGTCTTCTTCAAAGGCATCTAAACTGAAGAAGTCTTCGGCCTTGACGTTGGCCTTGATGTCGAAATCACAATCCGTGGAAGAGCCTTAGAAAAAGAAAGCTGTTGGTAAACAGAAGAAGGCTAAACAATTTTCAAAATCTGCTCAACTTTAAGAACTTCCTCCAATACAAGTCTCCCTTCCACCTCCCATACTTGAGGAGTCATCTCAGGAGTTGCCAGATCTGGGCTCCGTTTCTGAAGGGGTCGACTCGGCACCACCACCACAGGCTAAGGCTTCGGTATCAATACCAATACCAAGCCTGTCTCCTAGTCATGGCTGTTCTGAGGCTGATGTCATCTCCAGCCCGGCCTTGGCCCATTCTAGCCCTATGTCAATTGGGCAGGCAACAGTGATACAATTATTGAATTTGGAGGTGTCCCCGCAACAATCCCCTCTGTGGAAATGACTGGTGAAATGTCGGCATGTTGTGTTTTGGATGTAAGGGTTATGCCTTTTCAGGAAAGGTTCCAGCAAAAAGAAGCACAACAAGCAAAGCAAGTCTTCTTCAGAGGCACTTTACTTTAGACGAAATAAAGAAAATAGCAGCAGACGTGCACTCCTACACACCCATTCTAACCCAACTGTGCTGGCGTTTTTCCTTATATACAGGACCGAGATGCTTATTTACATAATTTCTGATGAGCTGCAGCTGTAGTGAGCTACAGCTGCCTTCCAAGAATGGCTTCCAGAAGCTCAGGGAACAAATGCAGGTTTGACCAGACCACAACAAACCCGAGAGCATCCTCGGCATCGACAGGTTATACTTCTTCCATGGCCATCTCGGCGTCATGCGTACTCAGATTATGAGGAGCCGATTTATGTAGAGCTTGATCGACATGGTGGTCACGGTCAATACTCTGAGGATGACCTTGAATCTTTCTATGACACCGGCGATTACATCAGGCCCAAGAGAGTGTGTTATGTATATGCCTCTCCTTCTGGATCCTCGCCATTGCCTTCACCTCCTCTGCGTCTGCATTGAACCTATTGCCAACCCGACCCTTCGCCATTGAAGCCTGCTCCTAGACGCCATTTGTCTCAGCAGGAAGCGACTCATCAGTCATCCTGTCCTTTGAAGAGCTCTCATACCCTGTCGGTACCATCATCCTTGATATCACAACCGAGAGTCTCTCACACTCAATCAACTCATCAGGGTGCACCTGAAACAGACACGTCCATACCGGTCCCATGAGCTTTGGCTTCCATGTTAAGAGGTTGTCTTCACTCGCCCTCTCCACCTCTTTCCTTTACTAGGGGTTCTTTGGTATCGTCGGTTTCTGAATAAAATCCACCTTTGGAAGCTTCCAAAGAGTCTCCTTCAAATTTGCCAACACCAGATTCAAATGTTGCTGATCTTCATCCCCCATCGCCATCTGAAGACTTTACATTGTACTCACAATTGATTCTCTGCATGGCAAAATCTTTGGAGCTTGATATCGAGCACCCCCCGCCTCCCTGGCAAGACCTTGTTTTTGATGATATAAACCAAGAAAAATCCCCCTCATTAAGCTTGGCCTTCATTCCACCTATGTTAGACCTCATAAAAGATTAATGGAACCAACCGTCTACATCTCTTTAGATCTCTAGACGTATTGAGTATCATTACAGAACACATGGCAGTGATACAACTTTCCTCACTAAGCACCCTGCACCAAATTTTATTATAGTGCAATCTAATCAATCAAGGGTGATTCCCCTTTTGTCATTTAATACTGTGTCTCTAAACATTCTGTCATCTTTCATGTCCTCTGAAATCATTTTGTAGATATGATTTATGTCCACTAACTCTTTATGTACTTGGTCTATCTTCAATGGGTCTTCCAGGGTTTTTTAAATTAGTTTT